TTTAATTTATGATTTGGAAACTATCGTAGAAATTGCTGGGTGAAGAAGCTGATAATACGGTGGAATAGATAGTAAGGTTGTTTCGGACTGGCTCAAGTAGAAGAATGTTCTGAAGATACTGCGAATGCAGATTGCTTCGACCAACTTTGTCCAGCGCTGCCTGAGCAGTCGTTCTTGAAAATAACAGAATGGTGTATTACAGTAAGATAGTAGAAGTAAGAACCTTCTCTTGTCTCCATCCTTTTTCCAATGATCGAAGTTAGTTTCAACCAAATACCATCTGTCCTTACTCAAGGTATAAATATCAAATGCTTTCATACGATTTCTTCAAATAGTACGATAGTCACGAGAAGATGTATGATGAAGTAACCTCGAAATGACGACTCCTTCATAGTTACTCATACCTCCTAAGATGATATACGAAGGTGAAATCAGAGGAGTTGAAGTGAATCTTGTTAATGCTCCCTTGAATGTTTCTTCTGTTTCGAGGACCCAAAGACGACTATAAACTTTTCAAAGAAATGACAAACAAACTTCTCGAATGAGATAAGATACTGGACGTTTGAACCTAGTGTATAACTCCATCAGGATGTTGTCTATATAAGCTCCAGAATCTAAATAATTGAGAATAAATTTTTTTTTTCATGTTTCGTTCTCTCATTCATTGTGACTTACATCGAGCATTCAGCGATACGGTAAACGCTGAAGGTCTTTGTCCAGTCAATAAGCCATTGTATAGAGCAAACGTAGTGCCAGCATACACAATCTTCAAAGTATAATATGCTATAAGAAGGCTTTATCATTTTAGATGAACTTTTCCATTTCTTGTAAAATCCACTAAGACCGTTATATTCTTAAGAAGTGATCCCATTTCATAATCCAAGTTCCTTCCATGAATGATTTTTCCATCTTTATCCTGAGCAACAATAGATGTACATCCTAGTCCAGAGAGAATACTGAAGTTGACATATGACAAAATAATCATCTGAAGCTATGTTTAACTGTTTTCTATCAAAAGCCGTGATGTCATATAAAATATTTAATCCAACAACTTCTCCAAGTGGTAGATTAGCTTCTCGTGCAATTCCTGAAACAATTGAACAGAGCTTATCATGATAATGAGGATTTGCTATGACCTTTCAGTTCCCTCTCATATTCTTCTGAAAATAAATTTCCAATTCGAGCTGCTAGCCACCAAACGAAAGGTTGCAGCTTTGATGGAATGTAACTCCTAAATCATTGAGTTCAAGGAAATGATGTGTCAGATTGAGATTTTCAATAAAAAATATTTTTTTTTGGCCAAGTTAAACAGTTTTTTTCCAAGTAAATTGATGTTCCAGCATGTGCTGATGTGTCAATCATCTGATGACAGCTAAGCGTTCCAATAGATGAGGACTGATTGGGGTGGTAATGAACGGTGGTTGGTTGGAACAATTGAGGTTCTTATCACATTCTACCATCTTCACAATCTCGAATAATGTTTGACATACGAAAACCAATACAGTCTGTATTGGATGATGTGTAGATGTTGCTGACAATCTACGTAAAGTGAAATTTCATTTTTCAAGGTTAGATCGTGTGAGACTCACACAATTGGAGGTTAGAATTGACTGTAGAAACATAGAATTGAGTCATTAGGCAAGTTGACTGATGAGATTAAGTGAAGACAAACTGTTTTCACAATAATTCATTAGATTGCAGGTAGATATTGCGCGAATTTCAGCATTGACCATCTGGCAGGTATACTCTTGTCCAGTTAGGCTCTCAGTCCCCCCTCCCTCTTTCTCTGTCATGACATACAGCTTCCCCAGTCTACTTTCTCTCTCTCCCTCTCTTCCTGTCCTCCAATTCACTTTGATATATGAGAAATTGTGTAGATGGAAAACTGATTTCCTGTTGATCTTCGATATGAATAAAGATTTCTTTAATTATTGATGTGAGCCCCAAATGGATTTATAAGAGACTAATCCGAGAGCGGAGGCCGATGTTGCGAAGGGCACCTAATAAGGTAATCGTTGTCGGAGCCTTCTTAGTCGGCCATCTTTCTCTTCCGATATTACGGCTGATTGTAAACGGTTTCCAAAGAATGTCTCAATTATCTATCAGTTAATATAACCTTCTTCACGTTTTATCTATCTTCATCCGTTCACGTTCAATGTGGTCTTGATATTTCTATCAAAATAGGTCTTGAACAGAATCTTTGACTATAAGGTAAAAGAGATGTAAGAGGATCCATCATCTTACTTTGATTCTTCCGCTATAGCTGGAATGTATTGTAGATGATCACGTATGACTTCATTCCATCGATTCTCCGGCTCAACATCCAAATCAATTGTGTATCTTAAACAAATCAAAATCACTAAGCTGAAATGGGATGAGATGAGAAAAAATAAAAAATTTTTATTTTTCACCATCGGCCTCAACCATAAATCTTAATTTAAGAGAGAAAGCTAACCTTTTGATCGCAACACCAACTGTCGTACTACACAACAGAAGAAATATGCAAAGTTGCATTCTGAATTATAAAATTTCGATTAAGAAGTTGCTTGAGTAACTTGAGAAGGAGACTTGCACATCAAATCACGAGTTTTATAAAAAAAAAATTTTTGTTTCTGTTAACAAGTTTTGCTATGTGATTGACTGAAATAAGTTGTTTGTGCGTGCTTTCTCTCCCAGATGTGAAGAAAGGTGAGTGTAGGTGAGTGGAATACGATGAAGATGATGACTCAAGAAACACATAACCTCAATCATATTCATTATATTTTTCCATCTAAAATACGAGATTAAATAATATTTTTAATATTACATAAGGTAAAAGTATGTTGAACGTGATTGTCAGGGTCAGATCATATCGTTGTCAGTGGTTGAACAGAGAGAGAGAGAGAGGGGGATAGGGGATGGAAGACATAACCGCAACCCATAGATTGTCAAGAGGTCGTAATACTCTTCTATACAGTTACATGAACAATCGAAACAATAAAAATTTCAATGAATTTTTCCTTTTTTTTCTGTTTTGAACCAGCTTGTCCCCATTCTTTCTCATTTTTATCACTGAAAATGGATAATTTGAGTTAGAAGACAAAATTGGATACAAAGTGACTGATTGAAACTGAACGATTCGATTCGATTCGAGGAGAGAGGAGAGCGGATGAGAGGCTTGAAGGAATGACTATGAAAGAGAGAGACTGTTTCTCTCTCTTCCCATCCCCTCTGTTTTTAGTTTCAAATTTTCAAATCTTCTTTTTTTTTGTTTCTAAAAAAGTTTTTTATCTGCAATATGTTGTGGGGGGGGGGGGGGGGGAGGGGGAAAAAGCAGGAAAAAAAAAACCATCATAAGTTCCC